TTTCCACTTTTTCAAATGATTTTTATTATATGTATATATATTTATATATTAAGATGAATTACGTGTTAAATAAATTGATTTCGAATATGGTAATTTTTTTATAAAATAAATTGAAAATAGTCTCCTTTCTTTCTTTCTTTCTTTCTTTCTTTCTTTCTTTCTTTCTTTCTTTCTTTCTTTCTTTCTTTCTTTCTTTCTTTCTTTCTTTCTTAGTTAGAGAAAAGTTAATAGAATTATGAACTTTATATCACCAAAGAAAGCTATAAACATGTTAGAAAATCCATTTTTTTGCTGTAATCTTTGATAAATGCAATTAAAAATAGCACGGACCCTAGGTCGCTCAACTAGATGAATAATTATCTTTCTCTGATCATTTATTTTCCAAAATTTTATCAATGTTTAGGCTATATTCTCATTCTAATTATTTTTGATACTTATTGCTTTTAGGTGTAGGTTAAAAAAAAAATTTTAAGAAATATGACAGCACTAGTGTTGTTAAGCTACCTAAAGTCAGCTGTAAAACACCGTAGCAATGTATTTATCCAAAAATATTCAAATCAATCTTCAAGTTGAGACTCAACTTAGAATCTTGATTCAATTTTTTAGGCTAAAAGCATGGCGAAGCCAAGATAGAGATGGTCATAGTCAGGTAATTTAACAACACTAGTTATGTTGACAATTTTAAGATTTTTATCGTTTAGCAAAAAATTGTTTTATTTTTTGCTAAATTGGATGATTAATTTTTTTTTTATTTAACGAGCGATACTTTTTTGTTGTTGTTATTTATTATAACAAGTTACTTTTTACGATAAAATTTGACTTTATATATATAAATATATGTATATATAAAGTAGTGTTGTTAAATTTACTAACTTTTATCGTCTCTATTGAGGCATAGCCATGCTTTTAGCCTAAAAAAATTGAATCAAGATTCTGAGTTGAGTCTCAACTTGAAGATTGATTTGAATATTTTTGTATAAATACATTGCTACGGTGTTTTACAGCTGTACTAAGGTTAGGTAGCTTAACAACACTAATAGAAAGAAATGAGTAATTTTTTTTTTACTTTTATAATTGGAATTTACTACCGTAAAATGGAATCACTTATTCTGGTTCTTACAAGCAACATTATTAATTTCTGGTCTAATCGAAATCAAAGCTAATACCTACTACAAATTATTGTTTAAATATGAATTTACCATTTATTTCTCGTTCATACATGTTCGATATTAATATATTAAATATTTAACTCAATTAATATTAAAAAGTTTATATATATATATACATATTTTGAATTATATTAATTTAAATTTTACCTTACGGACTTATTGTATTATTTCTTTCACTTAAAATCGGCCTCATTCATAGTGGTATCCGATCCGACACGATTTAACAGCCGATCGATTTTTAAAACCGGTTTATGAAAATCAATTTTTCTTTATTAAAACCAATATTTCTTAGGATATTATTGATGTATAGATATTAAAGATCAAATTAATATTATTAAAAATAAATACTAAATTTTATTTTCGTTCATTTTTCATTGATTCTCTGGTGCTCGATGTGTAAAGATTAAAATGATCTCATGAATAGATTTTAAAAATCAATCAGCTGTTAAATCGTGTCGCACGGATCCCGCTATGAATGCGACGGCCTAATAGTTTCATTGATTTGATATTTTACTTTTTGAAAAGTATATATTATAGAACATACAATTATTAGATAGTTATAGTTATCTTTTAAAATTAAATAAATCTTTGTATTTTTCATCTTTGCCTTGCCACTGTGTCCATTTAACATGGTGGCGGCGGTAAAAGTTCATTAGTAAATTTTTAAAAAAATAAGATATTTTTTTTTGACTAGAGAAATCAAAAAATTTCTTAAATTAAAATTAAATATAAACTTTGATTAAAACGTATGGACATTTGGCGCCAAGAGATGAAAACTTCAAAGATTAAAAAATTTATGGATGATATTTTCCAGAAAAACGATGACGAAACCCCATGGCTAGAAACGATACTATAAAACCCCGATTTAAATTAGATTATGGGCACTCACTAGCGTAGATACAAAATTTTTTTTTTAGATATTACTATTGAAATTATTCTGGATAGGAAGAGAAGGAAGAGAAGAAAAGAGAGAGAAGAGAAGAGAAGAGAAGAAGAGAAGAGAAGAAGAGAGAGAAGAGAAGAGAAGAAGAGAAGAGAAGAGAAGAGAAGAGAAGAGAAGAGAAGAGAAGAGAAGAGAAGAGAATCTTATAAATAAATAAAAAATTATTTGAAAATATGTTATTTTAAAGAAATTTTAGTAAATGAATATGTAAATTTGTACATCCATATCTCTCTATAAAAATTTAAACTTTGTGCCCTTGTATTTTTAAGTAAATTATAACTCAAAATTATTTTCTTTTATCTTCAAATGAAAGAATAATTCGTAAAAATTTGCATTTTTTTTTAATATAAAAAATAAATAATAAAGAGAATTTTAAATATGAAAATATTAAATAAATAAATAAAAATAATTTTATATTTATATCAAAATAAATAAAAATATAATATAGTAATTAATAAGATTTACTTCTGCAAGGTGGCGTAAACTATTTTAAAAAAAAATATTTTCCAATTTTTAAATGATTTTTTATATGTATATATATATTTATATATTAAATGAATTACGTGTTAAATAAATAGATTTCGAATATGGTATTTTTTTTTATAAAATAAATTGGAAAAAGTCACATTTCTCTCTCTATTTTCTTTCTTTCTTTCTTTCAGTTAGAAAAAAGATAATAGAATTATGAACGTTATATCACCAAACAAAGCTGAAGCACGTTAGAAAATCCATTTTTTTTGTTGTTGTAATCTTTGATAAACGCAATAAAAATAGCACGGAACCGAGGTCGCTCAACTAGATAATTCCAAAATTTTATCAATGTTTAGGTTATATCTAATTATTTTTGATACTTATTGCTAGGCTAAAAAAAAACTTAAAGAAATATGATAGCACCCTAATTAATAGCATAGATCAACGTCTATAAGACGTGAAGGGAGGGGGGGGGAGAAGGTTGGCTTGGAACAATTTTTTTTAGGGGTAAGGAATATTATAGCAATAGTCCTATATCGTAAGACATATATCGCGAATTTAATATCGCAATAATTGCTAATAGTCACTATTTTAGATTGATTTAATGATAGAATATTTAATATACTTTTTTAACCTTAAGAAATTTGTATAAATGATTAAAGAACTATTTGGTTTATGAAAAATTTATTATTGGAATAAAATAATTTTTTTGCTATCCCGCCCTAAGCTTTTCCTCGAAGTTTTATCCCATAAGAATCGTTCACGGATGAATCAGGTATTATCTGGAAGAGAAAAGAATTGGTGCCTTTCGTTAAACCCTGATTCTTATTGACAGAAATTTTATCTGGTCGTGGCAATAATTATTGTCTTGAAGTACGTTTATAAATTCATCAAACAGTTTTTGCTAGTGATTTAACCAAAAAAATAGTTATAATCTATTAGAAACTGTCTTTATTGGGATTTTGCAGAGTTTTTAAAAGAAAATTTTTAAATTGATCTAAATACAAATACATCGTCTAAAATAATATCTAGATACAGTTATTTTAATAAATACCAAATTTTTATATCTAGAGACAGGATTTAGATCTTTTAACAACTTTGGAATTTGAGTAGCAATTCAAAAAATAAATTACAGCTAAATGAAATAAGAGATTTTCCCTTAATTCAAAATTTTTTGAATATGGGAAATTTTACCATCTTTATAGATTTTTCTTGACAATCGTTTTTGAATTAACTAGATATAAAAATATTAGTTTAAAATTTTTTTATAGGAATTTGAATCTAATATTTAAGACGCAGCCTTAAGCAAAGTACTAATTCTGAAGATTAAGCTAAATGTATCGCTTTATAACAAACAATCTCAGAATTAAAAGTAACTAAAGTAAATTTTTTACTAAATTCCTAAAGGATGATTTTGCTAAGTAAAAATTTTAATTTTCTCAGAATTAAATTTTATGGTGAGGGAGGGGGGGGGGGAATTTATTGGTGTAAAAACCTGTTCTCTCCGCACTTACCATGAGTAAGAAGGAATCAGATAATTATAACACGCTTACTTGATAAACAATAATTATCAAAAGATATATTTTAAGGAAATTTTGTTGGTAAATTAATACTGTATGTTGTTTTCCTTTAAATAAATTTGTTCGAAATATATCTATTGTTTCGAGGGTAATGACTTCGCTGCTCTAACACATTCGCGCTAGAAAATTCGATATAAAAATCTCGCTATAACGGATTCGTGATAAAATGTTTCGCTCTAAGGTATTCGCGGAAATAAATTCGTGACAATGGGTTCGCGGTATATTAGCTTCTCTTATAAAATTCCTGCACCGTAAAGGTTACGCGAAAGTGGCCTAATACGGAAAAATATCGCCGAAGACGGGCAAATTATATAGATATAAAGGAAAGTTTGTCAGTGAATATCCTTTCATGTAAAAGTTGGCAGGGACATGGAACAAAACTTGGGGAAATTATGGACCGTTAAAGGAACGAGAAAAAAAAACTAACATCAAGGTTTCAGGATTTCGCCAGAAGAGAATCAAACCATTCCCCCAATGTGCTCATTAAATTTTCCTATCCTAGGCTGTGTATGTCCGGATAATCGCTTTAATCAACGAAGGTTTCACTCGAAATAAACGTTTTGATTGGATGAAATAATTTTAAAAGAAATATCCGAAAGAAAGATGTCAGATTTTAAGATTAGTGAGATATGAATTTAGATTGGTTTAAAATTTTAATTCTTTATCAATAACTCGTCAAAACCTGATAGGTAACGTGATCATAAATGAACGAATAGAAAATTAAATATGAATCCGCGGTTGTAACGAGCAAATCCCTTTGAGTTTTAACCAGATGAGAAGATATTCATATATAAGATATATAAATTTTTTCAAAAAAAATATTAATTCCAATTCATATTCAATCAATAAATAAATTAAATTTATATAAAATCACATTTTATTAATCCCCTTTACATATATAAATGATTGACATTTTAAATCTTAAAGTAATAATTGCGCGATTTGCTGAGGCGTCTTGAGAACGAGGTTGGAAGCGTTCAGGGAATGTATAATGTCCTGGCGATCATCGGTAACGGAAGAATAGATCTGGGAATAAGATTGGGATATGATACCGTGCGATTTTGTTAGAATGTCATCCCTAATTTAAAAATAAATAATAAAATTTAATAATTATAGACAAATATTTGCTCGAATTGTATATGGAGTCGCTTTCCTGATTGGGCGGAAAATACTTATTTTCTGAAGGGGAAGGGAGTCTAAAATTAGAGCCTTTCCAAATTGAATTTTTTTCTTCACCCCCACCCCCCCTAATATAATTATTATTAGGATATATGAACCCGGCAAGAATTCTGACGATTCGTTCATTCAAAGGTGTAATCGATACAAATCACCCGATAGCAGACATGTTTTTAACGTGTTACATCCGTATAAGATAATTTACAATTGAAAAATAATTACGAAAACGTTTTTAAATGGCGCGTAATCAGCTGATTCGAATTCAAGGACCCTTCAAAAAAATGCAATTTTAATGAATGAGATCCCCAAAACTTTTTAATTTGGCACTAATCGCTTCTCAACAGATAAATTCTAAAGGATTAAGGTTAGGTCATTTTATTTTAATATTAAAAAATAGAGAGAGAGAAAATCTAATAATATTATTAAAATGAATATATCGAACAGTATTGTCGAGTAAAGAAAGAAAGAAAGATAGATAGAAAGATAGATAGATAGAAAGAAAGAAAGAAAGAAAGAAAGAAAGAAAGAAAGAAAGAAAGAAAGAAAGAAAGAAAGAAAGAAAGAAAGAAAGAAAGAAAGAAAAAAGGAAAGAAATATTAGTAGATATCTGGTATTTTATAAAAATTAAAAAGAAATTAAATTGGTTCCACAACATTTATTTGTGTGATGTCGCTCTACTCCACCACAAAAGGTTAGACGTCATCGACTGCGTAAATTTGTTAGGATGTAACAAACTTATACCAAGAATAAATGACTAAAATTATGGATAATCTCGTTGATATATTGCGGATAGTAGATTTACTATCCATGGCGGAAGTAGACGCAAGTAGATTCACGTAGAAAAAATGGCGAAAAAATTCGAGGCCATATGGTTGAATAAATACCATTTTCATATGGGATAAAGTAAATGGTGGTATTGAACGCTTGACAGGGGAGGGGAGGGGGATAATCGAGGGTTGATTATTTCCCCCTCACTACCAACCCCTTCTATCTTTCAGGAAGGAAGAAGGAAGGAAGGATGGGAGGGAGGGAGGGAGGGAGGGAGGGAGGGAGGGAGGGAGGGAGGGGAGGGAGGGAGGGAGGGAGGAAGGAAGGAAGGAAGGAAGGAAGGAAGGAAGGAAGGAAGGAAGGAAGGAAGGAAGGAAGGAAGGAAGGAAGGAAGGAAGGAAGGAAGGAAGGAAGGAAGGAAGGAAGGAAGGAAGGAAGGAAGGAAGGAAGGAAGGAAGGAAGGAAGGAAGGAAGGAAGGAAGGAAGGAAGGAAGGAAGGAAGGAAGGAAGAAAGGAAGGAAGGAATGTATATATGAAATTAAATGAAGTAGATATATCGAAATTCAATTATTTTATTTATTTTTTTTTAAGAAAAATAATTAATTGTTGGATAAAGTGAGGAGACCCGATAATATAGAAGGTCATACGATGTTTTTCCGCTTCATGATTCGCGACATTAGAAGAAATCTTATAATTAAATTAAAATATCCCAGGGCTTTAAAGTTTGGATATTTTTTCGACTTTTAACTTAATATTCAGGTCGTGCAATAGCGCGATCTCCGGTAGAACGAACAGGTCGGGCGCGGACAAGTACTGGTCGAAGAGCAAGAAGCTCGCGGTGGTAAAATGAGATAATTCGTAGTTCCTGGATCCCGAATTTCCCGTCTCCGACGCTCCATTTCCACGCTGCGTACGGTGCTCTTCGTTCGTTCCGACGTCCGGCGCTCCCGCCGAATTCCCGAGGTTCGGTATTTCCGGCACAAAATTTGGGAGGTGCTGGCTAGACCCTTCTTCCGACAATTTTTGAGCTAGCAGTTTAAGACCAGTTTTGGACAGGACGTAATCGGCCTGCGACGTGGCTAAGAAGTTTAATTTTTCCGGAACCCTAAGCTTAAAAAAATTTTGTCAGTTTCAGTACGGGTTCAGGTTAGTGTTGTTAAACGGCTCGTGCTAACTCAATATTTTAGCAAGAAAAATATTGCCTAGGCCCTCGAGATTTCGCTAGACTTTGCTAGTAGATGTCCTAACTTCCTTCTACAAACAAAATCTTCAGGCTTGCCTAATACTATTCTGGATTATTGAGTTAGCCGTTTTTAAAAATCGGCACAAAACGAGCGGTTTAACAACCACTAGTTCAGGGTTCGGTTTTTTAATAAAAAAATAGGAATTAATTCAGTCCATGGCAGATCACAAGTTCTTGTAAGAACTCAAACTATCGACCAAATGAAACGTGGCAGTTTATTTTGAAAAAAAAAGATTTCTAGTACCTAGACTGACGATGCATTCTTTAAAAGTGAACATCAATTTAAAACAGCTGGGGAGGCCATTTTGGTCACACATATCATTATTAAAATTTTTAAAAGACAATCACATATAACCTAGACTGACGATGCATTCATTAAAAGTGTACATCAATTTAAAACAGCTGGGGAGGCCATTTTGGTCACACATATCATTAAAATTTTTAAAAGACAATCACATACCTAGACTGACGATGCATTCATTAAAAGTGAACATCAATTTAAAACAGCTGGGGAGGCCATTTTGGTCACACATATCATTATTAAAATTTTTAAAAGACAATCACATATAACCTAGACAGACGATGCATTCATTAAAAGTGTACATCAATTTAAAACATCTGGGGAAGCCATTTTGATTATCGATATCATTAATAAAAAATTTAAGCCAGAAGGCCAATTTATTCCCTATGCCTGACGCAAAACATTTATTAAAAGAATTGCCTGATCATCGAGATAATAAGGAAGAAAGTTATCAATTTAATAGTTAGTTTTTAACAGAAAATAATTACTATATTGATTACCAAAATAGCGAGTCCAGCTGATTTGCATTCAAATACGCTTTCAAATGCATTATTATGAATGCATAGCCAGCCTAGGCATTATTAAAGTCATTGGTAGTGGCCTGGTCAAAAAAATATTCTGAAAAACGGTAATCAAGTTAAGACGGTTCGTGTCTTTACGCATTACAAGAGTAAAAACAGATTAAGGTTTTGGACGTATAATCTAAAAAAAAATTCCTTTTTGTTTTTGAAAGAATACAATCATAAAATGACGAGCAGGGGTTCATTGAACAATATCTTCGGGGGTTTATAAAATAGGTTTGGGGTTAGGGGTAAAATGGTCCGAAACCCTTGATATAATATAATATTTTTTTCTTTGCAAAAGTACTTCGATCTCAATGTCAGTCAAAAATCGGCGAAGAAAATTGGGAAAATCCTCTGAATCCGAATCGATTACCTTTTCAGCTTCAACGTTGAGGGGATAGGTAGGATCCAATTCGTGACGCGTTAAATAGAAGCAATTAAGTTGATAGACATTCTGAATGACTTCTTTCTCGTTATCCGTACGGTCACTCAGTAAGGCCGAGGTTTTGAGTATGCATTGAATGATGGGAGCTTTAAATTGGTCCATAATCTGAGGGTAATTTTTTATTTTTTTATTAATCTATTGGTTCCGATTTAGGGTAAACATTCATATTCTCGAGGAAAATAGTTTTTTTTTTAAAGATCAGAAGAAGAAAAAGGATTTGGGGATATTGCGATGCTTTAAACCGTGTCAATATTTGAACCTAACGTCTTCTTCCTTTTTTTTTCATTGTATTAAAAAAACCGGAAGCCACCATTTTGAGCTATAATAATCAGGTGTTGTTAATCGCTCTTTTTCAATAGCGACGTGGCTACAGTTATGGCTAATTTTCGAGAGAAAAAAGGAATAGCTAGCTACCGTAAATCTATATTTTTTTTTAAAAAACCGGCAGGCCCGATCCGGGTACAGGGGCCTAGCTGGATTTTTTTTTTAAAAAACCCTGACTAGGCCGAATGCAAATGGTACCTCTGTAGGTCTCTGTTATATGTAACCAATACCTGCTTAAATTCTTTCAAGTAGGATGATTGATTTTGTGTCGAGAGTAGAGAGGATTTGGCGACTCCGAACATACCGGTAATAACGTAAAGCGTGTAGGTCAGCGACGGCGTTGGATAAAGATCGTTAGAAGGTTTTTCCTAAATAAAACAAAATCAGCTGATAAACTACAAAACAAAAGTTCCAAAATACCCAAAAGTGTCTAGTTTAAATTTTTTTTTGAAGAAAAAAAAAGTGGGCAGTTTACGGTCTCGGCCCAAGTTATATTTTTTTTTCGACCAATCGATTTGGCGCAAGCGCACAAGTTCGGTCTTGGGATAAATATACTACATTAACACCCGCATTATCAGCGGAATTCGTAGCTGAGAATACAAAATATACAGCTGATTTTTTCTTATAAATCGCCCCCAATTCCCGCTAACTATGATGAGGGGTTAGGATTAACGAATCTCTTCCATTTTTTTTTTGAACTTGATCATCGTTTCCGGCCATTTTTTTGCTCCAAACGGAGAGGGTCGCCAGGAGCTTATCCTTGCAAAGTTGCTGACAATCGAGAAGGGCGGCGCAAAGATTTCGGGGTTTTTGAAGCGAGAGATACGGTGGCAGCGCCTCGCCGAAATAATAGCGTAGCAGGTGCAGCAATTGGAAGAGGGTCACTTGGCTATTCTCGGAAACCAAAATTTGCTCGATTCGCATCTAAAAGAAAGAAAAGGGTAATTTTTATCCGCATTCGATTCTTTTAAAACGAATCAAAATAATTCGGTATTCGTAATTATGCCAATCAAATAGAGATAGAAAAAATTCTATCATAATCTTCTATGAATACGAATAGCAAATATATTACGATTTGTATGCGTTTTGTACAATAAATTTATCGTAAAAAATGGCGCCCGCTACACAGTCGGGTATTGGATAAAAAATTGGACTCAATCTATAAGTGGGTGTCGAAAAAAATCCGCCGAGCCTTGAGTCGCCATGACGTCACTCAAAACTCTTAAGAGGAGGAGGGGGAGGGAGAGAACGAGGAACAAACTTTATTGACATTTTTTTTTAGTGTTTTTTTTGAAAAAAAATGATAAACGGCGTTCCTTTTATTTTTGACGAACTTTGAACGTGAACGCGTTCCTATGACGAACGCGTTCGAATTTAACGTTCGTTCAATTTTAAAAATACTTTTTATTTTTATTTATTTAAAAAATTTAATATATCCGATTTTTTTTTTAAAAAAAAAGTATTATTTATATTTTTTAATCGGGTGTGTATTTTTTCCTTTTCACATTTCAATTTTTTTTTTTAACACATAGTTTATCAATTTGAATATTATTGTTTATATTTTAATTTAATAGATTAGCATAAGCATGGATATTATTATTTAATCCTCATCATCTGATTCTGAAAATCCAAAATCAGATGAATTATCATTACTATGGCCAAATATGATAAATTTTACATTAACATCCTATATTGAAGGAACTAATCCAATGCTTACCAAGTGTAAAATGTGGCCAAAAAGTATTATATTGTCAAAATCTTCAGGTTCCAATTTAAAACAATATTTGATTTTAATATTAATTATTTGATTTTATATGATATAACTAAGTTAAATCGTTAAATTTGAAGAAATAATGCATTTGGGATATTTGACCCCAACAATAGTGATAGTTATTTTAAAATTAAAAAAACTAGTGGCATCAAATATGGTCAACCATTGATAGACGCCATATTAAATGGGATTAATAAAAGGTATTAAACCTATTACTCTCAATTAATTACATATATTTTATTTTTTTTAAAGATTCAAACATATATATAAGGATCACTATGTTCTATCTGCAATTATACATCCAGCATTCAAACTTCAATGGCTATGGATAAAACTTCCACAGAAAGAACCTATTAAAAATAAACTTATAGCGTTATTGAAAAAAAATGCTTTGAAAACCCTAGAGAACTGTTAATTTTGAGATAGCCTTTTTTTTGTCGAGAGTAGAGAATGGATTGTAAAGGATAACTTATCTCAATTATTTGCAAATAACAAAACAATATGTTTTTAATTAATTCTCCACGCGAAAACAGCTGTTTATTAAGTATAATACCGCAATCCCCTCATCTGCCACTGTAGAGCTCGTTTTTAGTATAGCTAATGCCGTATTAACTACCATGTTCCTGTCTATCAGATAAATATTTTGAAAGCAATTGTTATTAAAATTTAACAAGAAAAATTTTTCTATAAATAAAAATATCTTTTTATTCGCTATATTATATTTTATTTCTAATTATATTATCGAAATAAAACTATATTACTTTTTTAAACATGGCTAACATTTTGTGTTAAAATATATAAAACATTTATTTATATTAATATTAAATTTAAAAAATAATTTTTCATAAAATTTTGAACGGATTCATGAACGTCAACGCGTTCCTTTTTTTTTTGAAAATGAACTTGAACGTGAACGCGTTCGATTTTTGTCAATGAACGTTGAACGCGTTCGATTTTTGTCAATGAACGTTGAACGCGTTCGATTTTTGTCAATGAACGTTGAACGCGTTCGATTTTTGTCAATGAACACGCGTTCGATTTTTGTCAATGAACGTTGAACGCGTTCGATTTTTGTCAATGAACGTTGAACGCGTTAGATATTTTTAAAAATGTTTACAGCACTCGATTTTTTATTTTCATACCAAATTGTTTACGAAAGAAAAAATACGCGCCAAAAAACACCATTTTTAATTCCTAAATTTTTATATATATTTAATTAATTCAGCACATATAATAAGAGTTAGGAAGTGGGGGGGGGGGAGGCGGTGTACATGAAATATTAATAAAAATAATCCAATCGAATCGTTCTATTTTACAACAATAAATTTAAATTTTTATTTTTATTTTATAATATTAAAACGAGGTAAATTTATCGTTACAGATTCAAAAAAATCGACGTAGATTCTACTTCGATAAACTAAATTAGTATCGAATAATTCTTTATTCGATTTAAAGAGAAATATAAAAAGTTTAAAAGAAATAATAAAAAAAAGTTCCTCGAGGAAAATGTTTAAATAATTAAAGAATAATCAATTTTAAATATTTATAAATATATTTTTTTTCGGATATTTGCAAATAATTTCGAATAACTCGATCTAGTGTTGTTAACCGAATCGTTTTGAGCCGATTTTTTTAAAACGGCTAACTCAATATTCTAGCCAGAAAAAATATTGCCTATCGAGATTTCGCTAACAGATGTTCTAGAACCTTCGTTGCTTCTATGAGCAAAATCTTCAGGGACTTTGCTTAATATCGTTCTAGATAAAATATTGAGTTAAGCCGTTTTTAACAACACTAAACTAAATAAATATACTCCTTTATATAGTTACATTTTTTAAATCATTATCTTTTGTTTCTTTTTTTCGTTCTTTTCTCGCGATTCATTTTCGATGAAATTAGTTTTGTTGGTTGCGATACGATTCGAACTCGGGTCGCACCCTCACCCCCCCCCCAGCCGTTGTAGTTATGCTGTATCCCTTAAATAAGAAGATTCTGCGTTGATAGTTCAGTAGCGGGGACGCGAAGAAAACCGAACCCTATAAAACCAGTTTACGCCATTTTTTTTTAAAACCGCCTAAACGGGATAGTCAGGCTCACGGATTACCTAACACAACACTCAATGAGCAACTACCTAACAACTATAAAGCTCAAGGTGATATAAAATATAATATTAAAAGATGAAGGTGGATTAAAAGATCGTTTTTTTAAGAATGAGAAAGAAAAATTTCACTATTTATAAAGATCAGCTGTTAAAACGATACTTTAAAAAAGTGTACATTGTCGGTACGCCATTTTTTTAAAATAGGTTTCGAATAAACTAATCTGCATAAATGTATCCCGATACTTTAGCAACTCAGCAAAGATAAAAGAGAGATGGAGAGAGAATGGGAGAAGAACGAAGAAGAAAAAAAAACTAATTATCACTTTCAAAGGTCGGCAAACACCTTCCACTATGCTGGTCAGTATGGATTTGATCTCTTCTTCCTGACTCGTGCCATCATCCTTTGGCAGGCATTGATTGGTCGTTAGTGGCGAATCTTTATCGATCAGTGATACCTTATCATCAATTCTGTCAATTTTTTCAAGAAAAATATTAATTAATTATATCAAAAATTTCCAGTGGTTTCTTTGTTATTGAAAAAGAAAGAAAGAAAGAAAGAAAGAAAGAAAGAAAGAAAGAAAGAAAGAAAGAAAGAAAGAAAAGAAAAGAAAGAAAAAGAAATATATAAGCAAACCTTTTTCGGCCACCTTGGGGAGTGTCGGTCAAAACGGTCGAAAATAAGGTCTCTATTATCTCGCGTTCCCCCATGAGAAATTGATGCAACCAAGCCAGCATATCTCCTACATACCTAGGCGGGTCGTGAGAACTGAGTTCTATGGGCTTAGGCACACCCCCGGGACCTTCGCGTAGATAGAACATTTTAAATTTCGATATTTTTTACAAAAGTAAATGAGTCGAATATTAACTGAGGGGGGAGGGGGTTATAACGCAATCAATTAGTGGGTGGTCACCAGAATGGCTAAACTCTCCCGATTTTTACTCTCAATGTATGGGTGAGTTTTTCCCAATTTTTATTTATTTGTCCGGAGAATCGAAATTATCAATATATGATTATACTAATATAATGTGAATAAAATGGTTTCCTCGGGGTATAATCCGTGGACGATAAATTACTAATAATCTCCATCCGGGTTCGGATCCAGGGAAGGAGCGGTGCGGTGCGCTACAGAACGCGATTCTCAGCCGAGAATCGAGGGCATGATTTGCGTTTTTTATTTGATAAAATATGGTCGTTGTTTAACAAATCGTGGTTTTAATGTACACCCTTTTCACTAAAAGCCATAAACTATGATTTAAATTACCGACTCTAAACGATAATATAAATACATAGCAACATGCCGAACTTAAAATAGTTTTCAAATATCTTATATATAAAACTAAATTCTAGCTAAAAAAAAAATAAAAAATAAGTCGACCTCATGTTCGCCCCCCCCCGCGCCCCCAATTTATTGGATGGCGGTCAGGGCATTTCTACCCGCGACGCGTAAATTAATATGTAGCGTTGGTCATTGTAGGTAAAGTTATACGCTATATTCGTAAATTAGATACGATTATATATATATATTTATTTATGTTAATATAATAATGTGTGTAGGTTAACTACCTAACACATATCGACACCATTAATCATTCTTAACGCAATTTCCGGTGAATAAATATTGTATGGCATAATCACATACGATCAAATTTTCATTTAAAACAACAATAAGTCCGAATTTTATTTTTAACATATAAATATATATATATATAATAAATTATCAAGCAGAATTATGCAGTGTCTACCGATAATTCTACACATCAGAACCCGTTAGCAAGAAACCATAGTTGGCCTAAGAACAGAAACCCGGTAGTTGCTAGATTCGAAGCCAAATCTAGGGTAGGTGACATATGAACTCACACAGACTAGGCCAAATCAATATTGTTTTAATAGAAGGGAGGGGTGTAAAACATAAGGGGGTGAGGGAAATTTAATAAATTTAGAAGAGGAAAAAAAAACCTTCTTGAGTGAGAGCCCTCGTGAACGAATTGGAAAGATTAGCTTTGCGAACGTCTATGAAGGTCTGCACGATTTGATCGTACATACTATTTTCACCATCGGGATCGCAGGAATTTCGGAATATCAGCAAAGATTTGTGCAGAAGCGGCTTTACGAAGGCGTTTTCGGTTGAAAGTAAACGACATTCTCCTTTTTTATTTATTTAATGTATTATTTTATAAACCTATCCCAGGAGTATCTTTTAGGAACTGTGATGGAATAGGAATGCTGGTTTTTCAAATATATTATATAAGGAGAATATCTGTTAAATTTAAAGATTTGATCTCATCTGGATTCTTTTCTTTATCACTTTTTTAAAAATATTTCTCTTCTTCCTTCCTTTCTTTCTTTCATTTATTTTTCCCTATTTTCTTTCTTTATTTATTTCTAATTTTATCTTTTCTTTCTCTCTAAAAATAAATAATGTTTACAATGAAATTAGAAAAAAAATGTCATAATTGAGCATTGCCATACATTCTATATATATTTATAATTATTATTTTTGAAATAACAAAATTTTATTCTCTATGCATTATAATATTTCTAACTGAAATAATAGCATATTCAGAGATGTGACACTGACATCTTTTCTGCCAATATCGTTATCAATTCAATATTCATCAATGCCACCTGATCTAATACAGATAGGGTGCAAGTATCACTTAACACCATCCAATAAGATTTTTTCTTTTTAACATGAAATATAACAATTTTTTTTTCGAATTTTTAATTTAAAACAATTTTAAAAAAATAACCACTCCAATTCTAATGAATTTTTATTTAGGTGCATTATTCTTTAGAAAGTTAAAAAAGAAATAGGAATATCATGGTTTTACGATGGATATTATTTAAAAAATTAAAATATTTGATAAACAGTAATTATGGGGATTAAAACAAGGGTTTCGATTCAAACTGAACCACCAAAACAGAATGAACTCTGATTAAAACTTTAGCTTTAAATGCTTCCTTCCTTGTTCCTCATCTGTTTAGAAAAATTTATAGATCAATTTTCTTTCTTTTCTTATATATTCGTGGTTTTAAAAAAAATTACATTCATAAGGGTTATTTAATTATTTTTGGGTTGAACACTCATATCAATTACATATCTGATAATGTTCTAATATATATTATTATAGGTACATTATATTCCTAAAACAGATATTAGACTAATATAGGGTTTTAATGATATATTGGCAGTTGTGTCTACAAAATTTTATTAAAGAGAGGCTCTGACAGCTCTGGTTCTTAGATTTGATTCAGTTAAGGGTTGCAGGTTCAGGTTTCTAACAACTTTGTTAAATATGCTGTTTAAGAAAATTCAAATTATAAATGGGTCCTGTAAATAAATATTTTACATAGATTAACTGAACTTCTAACTTGAAAAAAAAAATTAAATAGTAGAGAGTATAACTTAATGTCCACTTGTATAATTTTTCTGTAGCCTTTTGTTTATTCAATTTATTATCTTTTATAATGTTCTCAATGAATGCTTGGTCAAGCCCATATTGTTTTGGGTGATTGTTAATACTTTTATCATTGAGCATAGACATTTCAATGTTATTGATTTGTTTTATCCTCTCAAACATATCTAGAAAATCCTAATAAAAATGGATTTAAAAATTGGGTTAGAATTAATAAAATAATAACTATATTATTGAAATAATATTGTTTATTGTTATATATAGTGAACGATATAAATGTATGATAAAAATATAAATGTTTGATATTATATAAGCAAAATAAATAAATAAATATAGGTCTTATAATACCTCGTCTATAGGTTCATCATTGGTAAATTTCTGTATTTCTTCAGGTTTCAAAAAGAACTTGTTCATGAAGCTCTTAATAAATACACTTTTTTCATTTAGTAATCCCCTATTTACAAAATAAAATGTGACGTGTAAAATTAATTAATTACTTTTCCTCTATTAATGATTTAGAATAACTTATAATATCCTTGGTTTGTGATTTAGTTGTCTAAAAAATTTAAATTAGATAGTTATTTATTTTAAAAAATACATTGATATGTTTTTCAATATTTTGGCAGCATTCAACCATTTTATTTATGTTTTCATCAAATTTTTCCACTCCCTAAACATAACAGATAATGATGCAATAAATAATTATTTTAAAAAAATACATTTTTGATGTCAGTAAGAATTTTTAAAAAATCGAATCCCAGTGAAAGATTTTGATTTTCAATATCGCTTCTCAAATGCCGTCTATTATCTAATGTGTTTTCATGGTAAAACTGACTAATCGCCTCTAACGAATCTTGTAAATCCTATGAAATATAAAATTGTGTCTTATCGTTTCAATAATATGTAAGCATATGTAAATATAACATTTAAAAAAATGGGTTTGATCTAAGCAATTACTTGATCTTTGTCTAAATTTAACTCTAATACTTTTTGTACTTTTTTGGAAAGAGGATTTAATGCTTTGTTAGGCACAGGCATCTAAAAAAAATTTTAAAACGCGTTCGCATTTAATAAAATATACCGCACAAGCGACAGCTGATTTAAGTGATATATATCATGCTTTAGAAGGCATTTATATATCATCAAAAATCGTGATATGTAATGTATATTTTATCTTTAAATCTAAACCTTAAGTTTTTTTAATTTTTAATAAATAAATATTTATAAAAAGTTGCTCATTTTTTTTTATAAAATAATTTTTAACGCATTTTTTTATTTTTTATCCTTGAATAACAAATGAAATGGTAATTTTAAAATTATTTTATTAAAAAGATTATATATGATATTGAAATTCTTAAAATAAGTTAAAATTCAATTTATAATTTATTGATCATATATTTAAAGTAAAAATTTTCTCATATTACTGATTAAAGTTTACTTATTTTAAATTTTTTTCAATATAATTTATTATAAGTAAGTTTTTAGCTACCATGGATAATTATTCGCATATTACTGTAAATCCAAATTGTTTATTTTAATTCTTTTAAATAATTTATTATAGGTAAAATTTTAGGCAAAAGTTCTTATAATCATATTACTGAAAATCCAACTTCCATACTAACCATATTAATTTTTGTTAAGGTTGGCAGGGAGAAGAACAAAATTAAGAAAGGTTTTAAAATTTTTAGTATATTTAATTTATTTAAAAAATTATTTTAACTTAAAAAATATATTTTCATATTTTATATAAATCTATTTAATAATTTATATAATCAAACTATTGAGTTAATATTATAAAATCAATCCGTAAAATTAATATTAAGTTAATAAAAAGAATTAAAAAAATTAATCCGTTAGGTTAATATTGAGTTATTAGTTAGCGCTAAAAAAATATTTTAAAAAATCAATCAAGACATCTAAACAATTTTTAAATTTTTTTAATTATTGGTCAAATTTTAGACAACTAAAGTTCTTATTCTCGTAATTCTGAACATCGAAATTTTTATATCAGCTAACCATATTAATTTAAATTTGTTTTTAATTATAAGTCCGATTTATAAATTGATTTATTCCATATTATAGAAGAATGATCCCTCTCAATCCTTTCCTTTAATAATATATGTCAATCCTAAACAATCCTTTTCTAATAATTAAATAAATACCAACAATAAACATAATTTCTTTGCATTAGAAATGTGATAACAAATAATCTAATTATTACATAGTATTTAAGGTAATAAGCCAATTTTCAAAAAGGAAATGATACCTTAACATCGTAAAAGTTGGGCCAACTAGGATAACCACATTGTTTAATTTCATGTTATACCATATTTTGATGATGTTCACATCAAAATAATTTATAAATTTTTCATATTCATAAAAATATCAAAGTCCCAATATATCTTCTTTGTTCTTTCCCAGCTGGCATCTCCTGATCTCCCCCATCTCTCTTCTTCCGCCAAGGAAAATTAATTCTTCGTGTCAGAAAATGTCTGACATTTAGTTTATTATATTAAATTTATTTCTTCTTTTTCTAACTGCTACAAACGCCCACTCTTCACAAGCCCAGCGTCCCTCTCTCTCTGGTGGTATTGTATCGAATCGTCCATTTGATTTGTATCAACTTTCGGTACGCCTTGAAAACGAAGGGAATTTATCTAATCGTCTCCTTTTATAATGATTTATATTATAATATCTTTGATACATTTCAATATATAATCGCGGTAAAACATATTATCAATATGACATCTACATCGTGGTATCGGTATTTATAATCTATGAAACATTAATATTGACAATGTAATATCAACAAAACATAATAATTCATTTATTTTAAGCTATCTGGGAAATAGAAGTTATAATATAAGTTATTCGAGGTTTGATTAATGAGAATTAGGGAATAATGATTTTACATATAATGCTGTAAAGTGAAATGGTCTATGTGTGAAATGCAATTTCAACACATGTAATTTTCCTTTTGTCATGTAAAAAAAACAAAGCTACATTTTTTATAAATATCTCCTAAAATGGATATAAAAACCATTTTTAGGTATTAAAAATGGCGAAAATTTGTCGAACAAAGATTTTAATAAAATCACAAGGAATATGTATAAAAATCAATTTAATATTTTATAGGGAGAAAAAATATATAAAACTTAGAAAATGAAATATTTTTCTCCTAGGAATTACTCAGTATCCTAAGAAAAATATATCATTTCTACTTAACCCTGCCATCACAATTAGCACAGATTCACAGAAAAATTGAGAATATAATGGGATATATGGTATGCATGTAGAAAATTTTTAAAACATTCACAATATAAAATAATCTGAATTTTTTTTAAAAAAATACATGTTCATATACATAGTAAAATGTGATGTGCTATAAAATTATTAGAAAGATAAAAAAAAAGTAATACTCAAATAAATTTACAAAAAAATTTAAAAAATAAAAATTTCTCAATTATTTAAACTAAACAATATTTCCATAAGGCATACCCATCAACACATGGCTTACTTTATCCATAAAAATATTTTCCTTTTAGTATAATACATGCAAATACAAATCTTTATAAAATTTTATAATTTAAAAAATATATAAAATATATAGATTTCATCATTAAAAATAAATTAAGTACCATAATTTCCACCAATATATCATATAAATCCATGCCAAATTTTTATATATATCCAACTTATATAAATCCAAACTAAATTTATATATATATCAAATTCATATTTAAACCATATATCATATAAATCCATGACAAATTATATATCACATTCATATTTTGCCCATATATCTTATAAATCCATACAAATTTTTATATATAGCGAATTCATATTTTGCCCATATATCATATAAATCTATGCCCAATTTATATATATATATATCAAATTGATACATTAAATCAAAATAATTCAAAATAAACAACATTAACTCACCCTCAATAGATCCTTTAACAATATATCCTCCTTATTTAAAACTGGATTACATATACAATATAGTAACATTAATTAATAATAAACTATCCCACGCATGTTTATCCCTTTAAAAACCCAAAATGTATAATTATAAAAAATATCTAAATTTCATTTTTTAATTATTTTGAAAATCCTAAAAAAAAATAACAATTACCAATACTTAAATAATCTCTAAATTTATCCGATACAAATTTAAATATAATTCTATACACCATAACACTGTTATAAATGATTAAATATATGTAACCAACTGTCATATAACCCTAAGGCTAAATTTTTTATGGGGTAAAAATTTCGGTCTTGCCGTTTTGGAAATGGATGAATCTAAAATGATATTACTATTTATTATGAATCACTATAAAATAAATGGTTACGTGTCATTACTGCATCGCTAATGCATATTTCCTAGAAAAGAAAGTTATTTCCACGAATGCATTACAATACATTACTGCGAATAGGTGTTTTCGTAAATATATTAAAGCAATGTCCGCTAAAGTTTATAGAGAATTCATTTCCGTTAATATATTACCGCTAATGATTTATTATGCAAAATCGTGAAAATAATAGCGAATGTGTTATCGAGAATATATTACCATGAATTTTTTATCGCCTGGGAAAATATTATCATGAATTTATTATCGCAAATGTATAATCTCAACTGTAATATCGCTAAAGTATTTTTTTCTAACAAATAAATTATTGCAATTGCATTTTCAGAAATGATTGGAAACGATTACCTTACTTTATTTATATATGTGGAGTCGAGGGTTACATAAAATTTCCTTAAATCTAGGTTTGTGCTTTTCATTTTTCTTTGACATTTACTATAATACGCAGAATATCCATAAAAGATTTTAAAATTATATGTATCATAGTAAATTCTTTATATATTACAAACATGAACAATAAATAATAAAACATTAATTAGTACGGCTCTAGGACTTTGGAAAAAGTTTGAACTTGCTAAATGGGTTTAGAATATAGCAGTAGAGAGTTCAGCGAAATAAAATTATGACCCCGCACTCCCAGAGGGTAATAAAATTCCGAAATATTTTAAAATTCCTTATTATAAAATATGGGTAGAAACTTAATTTTATATTATTTATAGCAACCATTCGTTAAATATAAATAGATATATTGCATTCAATGTAATGCATTCACAATAATACTTTCTTTATGATGCAGTCGTGGTATTAAATTCGCATAATGTATTAGCGATATTGTTATCGCGATAATACGTTTGTTGCTTAATTCATTGGCAATAATGTTTTCGCTGTAATATAATCTCTTTAACAATCGCAATAAAATTTTAACGGTTATACATTTGATGTAATTAGCAATAATGTTTCGTGGTAACGCAATCGCTAATATATTCAAGATATTACCGGTATGCATTCGCAGATTAAACGTCATTCACGTTTATGTTTTCAGCGACGCGAAAAATGTTTCTTGGTATCGACTTGATATAAAAAATAAATATGTGCTAAAAATATTTGTATAAAAATATGAATTTTTTGGGCTATTAAAATGTAAATAAATACAAATAATTAATTACTAGAGAAAAAAATCCAATTCCTAATATATAAATTCTATTAAAAATTTAAATGTTGTGAATTAATAACAAGAATATTTCGAGAAACATTAGGTGATTTTAGAATTTCGGTGTCCTCTTATAAAAAATTTTAAATATTATTTATTTCCCCGTGATTTTTACATAATCTCCTTTAAAGTTGGTTTGTGCTTCATTAGTGTTTCACTTTAACCAAGTTTAATTGTCATTAAAAAGGAAAAAATTGTTAGTAACAAAAAATTTTGACCAACATCACCATTAGAGAAACTGAAAGCGTTATTCTTAAAATTTTATCAAATTTTAGTGCTTAATTGTAAATTAAGTTTATCCCATTTAGTTATTTATTATTCTTTATTCAATTTCGCCAGCCATAAAAACGTAACAGAATCACGATACAAATATAAAACTATGATTTTACGCCTTATACGCGTAAAGTCAACCAGAGTCCGATATTTACCACAATAATTATTACTATTAGATATTT